CCAGGCCGGTGTCCACAAAAACCCCCAACCTCCTGGGCTCCACCCTGTACCAGCCTTGATTCACCCAGGCCTCCGTGGCAGGACATGGGTCTCAGAGCAGTGGCCACCGCACATCAAAGGGCTGGTGTGAGAGAGGATTCATGGAGATGACAGATGTTATATAGCAGATCCCCTCTGCCATTTCGATGGTGTTAGATGCTGTGCCATCCACTCTCCCTCACAGTGACCCTGTGAGGCCCAGTCAGCTTTGCCTCACTGTCATTTTTATGGGAGCCGATGGCCAGGCCTCTCTCCCTTGGAGTTGATGGAGGGGGGAATGGGGCCGTTCCAACCAGCAACCTTGTGGTTAGCAGCCGCATCCTTAACCACTAGGTCTAACTGTCAATACCATTGCCCACAACTCCTTACCACCATGGAACAAGTTAAGGGCATGGGGAAGGTAACTGGTTTATACTGGGCTGTGAGCCACCATCAGAAGAGCAACGATGGGCCTCTCCCCACCAGGAGCAAAGAAGAGTGAAGACAAGATATGCAAACAATTAGTCTAATGGATTAATGGACGATTTGACCTTCAGCCCGCATGACCCTGGGACCAGAAGAATTAGGTGGTGCCCAGCTATCACAGATGACTGCTCTGAAAGAGATCACATTAGAAGATCTTCGATAGAGTTGGAGAAAAATGTAGAACAGAACTCAAAGCTGTTAAAAATAGAAAAAGACCAAAGACCAGGCTTACTGGCTGGTCAAATAGAGACTGGTAGAACCCCCAAGACTATGGCCCTTAGTCATCCAATTGCACCCCTAGAAATGGACTCATTCTTGTGGCTCCATTTTCAGGCAAACATTAGGCAGGTCTGTGAGGTCAACAGCACCACCACTTGGAAGGTACCACACCTGGGAAGCATCAAGCACTAGAGATCAAAAGGGCAACATTTGCCCAAGGGCGAAGTTCCTAAAGCAGGAAGGGGCGGAAAAGAAGGAGAAATGGAAAGAGAAGAAAGTGGGATCACAGGGCTGGCAAAATCCATGAAACAAATTGTGCGTGGATTGTGGAATGGAAAACTGATTTGTGCTGTATAACATCACCCAGTCCACAGTAAACAGTTCTTTGTGTTTTTAATATAAGGAAACAAAAGATCCCCTCTAGAGCAATGGCACAGTGGTTACAAATTGCGCTGCAATCCCCAAGGACCCCAGTTCCAAACCACCAGCTTGCTCTGGAGCATGAGAAAAGGATGGGGCTTTCTACTCTCATCAAGCACTGCTGTCTGGGAAGCTCACTCGGCACCCATCCAGCCCTGTCCTGGAGGCTCACTTGCAGTCAGCACCCACTCCAAGGCGGTGAGTGTGGGTTTTCAAAAACGAGAAAGAAAACGAAAAAGATCAGTGCTAACAAACAGGGTCACCATGAGTCAGAACCAACCCTACTGCAACTAACCACAACAACCGGAAGGGTTCACGTGTGAACCTACGCAGAAGTGCTGCGGAAGAAAGACCTGGCCATCTGCTTCCGTAAACATCAGAGCCAAGAAAACTCTAGAAATTAATAAACTGAAGAAGAAAACCCTATGGAACCAAACACTAGAAGAACTAGATGGTGCCCGGCTACCAACACCAACCCTTCTGACCAAGGGTAGAAGTAAAGGGCCTGGATAGTATGGGAGAAAAATGTAGGGGAAAAAAAACCTCAAACTCCACCCCCTGCCAAAAAAAGGCCAGACTTATTGGACCAAGAGAACCAACAGAGAAGCCCTAGGATAACCTTTGGCTTGGATTTGATGCACAGGACACCTTTCACCCATAATCGATGGGCTTATAAAATAAGCAAGGACACCGTCGAGTGAGGCGCTTCCTTAGACAACTGAGAAAGCTGGTCAACATTTGCCCAGAGGCATAAAGGAGACAGGCAGGGAAGCTAGATCAATGGAAATTAAATAAATAGAGTGAATCTTACTCGTGACCTAGTGGTTATTTGTTAGGCTGCTAACTGCCCAAACTAGACTTTCTACTCCTGTAAAGAGTTATAGTCTTGGAAACCCACAGGGGCAGTTGTAGCCTGTCCGGTAGAGCCGCTATGAGTCGGAATCCGCTCAATGGCAGTGAGTTTTTGGAGGCGTAAAACTGGCCTTCTGTTCCCTGGTGATGTTCTTTCTCTGCCAATGGCGAGGGACTCCACGGGACCTGCTTCCCTGTTTGTATTTGTACCAGGAAACAACGAAAACCCACTGCCATCGAGTAGATTCCGACTCACAGTGACCCTATAAGACAGGGAAGAACTAGCCCTGGGGGTCTCTGAGATGGCCACCCTTTTTATTTCCACCCTTTTACATTGGCACGTGATTCACATATCAGACAATTCAATAGTTCAGTCATATCAGAAAGAGTGGTACCCTGTCTCATAGGGTCCCTGTGAGTCGGAGCTCCTAGATGGCAGTGAGTTGTAGGATTTCCCTCGTGCCGCCATTGGCTTTCTGACAGTTTCTCCATTCTTGTCCTCATCATTATTAGCTCCCTATTCCCCCAAACCTCACCTGCCATATCCCCAAGGAGGCATTAATCCACTTACCGTCTCTACAGATTTACATCTGGAGTTTCATAAAGATAAAGGCATTAAAAAAAAAAACAACCTAACAAGAATAACAAAGTAAAACAGATAAAACCTCAATTGAAAAGAAAATATTAAAAACTAGAACAAATTTCCATGGACCATAGGGAGATCAAGTGATAGGGTGCTACATCCTAACCGAACCACATCCGGAACCACCCACTTTCCAGAGCTGTTTGTTCACATCCCTGGTCCTGGACAGAGGGGATTTCCCAGGGACTTAATCCATGTGTATCTCCCCTCCACTTTTCCTTTTTTTTTTTTACTGAAACAGCTTTAAAATAGATGGAAAGGGGGATCAAATGATTAGGTTTCATATCCTGA